TGTGGAAAATTTCAGGGTTTATGTATTTTTAGAGGGAAGGAATAAATACACTTGTATAAAAGCAGTACATTAGATTCTAATTATCAATTTTTAAAAGAAACTTTGAAATCTCTGTAGACCATAGAGTTCTTGTCAATAGAAAATATCTGTGGAATAATTATATTTTAGAAGTGCAATCTTCCAAATAGAAAGTCTGCTCAAATGGTTAATCTCAAAGATTTCTCTAGACTCATTTACACTCTTCGCTCCTGTAGTGGGTATCCCTGTTCCAACACAGACTTTTGCATTTGAGGTCTGCCAAAATAGGTGTGTTCGTGTCTATGTTTACTATACCTACCTTTTTTCCATTCCTCAATTCAGGACATCATTCTGTGTTTGCAGTCTTAGGTAATACTAGAGTTGAATGGTTGTTTAGATTTCTTAAATAGTTTTCATTGTACATCTTACCCAAGGAAGGGCAGAGGGAGGAGCTGGTGGCTACGGAATAAATGGACATGTGGAGAAGTAGATATAGGAAGAATAAATAGTGGAATAAGGTCCTAAAATGTATTGCATAAAAAAAATTATGTTAAAATAACAGATGTGGGATGGATAATTAATACTGTTGTGCAGGAAAGGAAGGGTTAATATCCCAGAACATTTAGTATTTTTTCAGTCCGGATATGCATTGCAATATAGCATTTAAATTGTTTTACTAGCAACAAATAAATGGGACAGTGAATTTTTTTTTTCAGCTTGTGAAATTGGCAGTGGAATAAGACCTAGAATCTGAGTATATCACAGGATGAATATATCAATTTAGGGATGTCAAACACTCCTTGACATTTAAAACTTTTTTACTTCATTCTCTACAGAAAGGGAAGAAGTCAATTCATACAACAACTATTCAATGTCCGTATTGGTGTGAAATTAAGATCACAGCAATCCTAATGGATGTCACAGCCCTTGTTCTTGCATTCTCTATAGGGGTATAGCAATTGCTTCATTTTAAGGCTAGACTATCTTGCAATTTGTTAAGTTTCTTTTGATTCTGATTGCTCTACCTGTGTATATGCATTTACACATTTGACTTTCCAAATCATTGTAAGTGTATTAATGCAAGTCATTGACGTGTAAGAAAAGAGAAGGTGAACAGTTGAGGATCAGAGGCATAAGACATTGAGGAGCAAATCAGCACCTCAGGATACTGAGGAACAAGTACATCTGATCCATACTCCTGCCATGTTGAATTTACCTAGGAATATAAAGCAATTCTTGAAGTACATTATTTAATGCATTTCTTGGTCTTTCATGTGGTTTCATATGTAACATCAAATCATTTGTGCGGCTGTATGATTTTTTTAAGTGACACAGAACTTATAAAACTGAGTTAGTGAAGCAGTAAGACCTTAATTTATTGCTAAAATACAGTCATACTTCTTGGTAAGAACTGGACATAATTGTCAGAAAAATTGAATAAATAGTTCCTCCCAGATGTGCTAGCAGCAAATTGTTACCAACTTTTCATTCCCTCTGAAGCAAACTAGCTTTCATCTTGTTATAGGGTAAAGCAGATTGCTAGATCCCATGGACTTGTAGACTGACTCAATTTGACATCTGGTATTGGATATAATTTAAAAACACTGTCATAATTTTTGCATAGATTTATGCGATGTATTTCACAATAGTATCCATTCTATTATTCATACTTTATTTTTTTTAATCAGTCATCTCTTTGCCATATGTGTTATTGTTTGCACACATTAGCAAGAATTATGGAATGATACATCTTTTTCTGCCATCACAGAAAAATATTCATGATTTTCTGCACTAACAAAGTTTGCTGCAAGGAGTTACTAATTTTACACTTGCAGCAGATTTGCCCAAATATCTGACACTAAACTCTGTTTTACTTAGTGAGAATAACAGTATAGTTTTCAGCAAAAGTGGAAACTATTCCCTCACATTTCCAAATCTTTGCTGCATTTTTAATATCGAGGATTTATAGGGAAAATATAAAATTAAGAAAATCTGTCTGAATACAATCATTTATACAACCTTGTTGCAGTAAATTCATGTGATTCTGAAATGTAAACAGACTGTGGGGAGGGGAGTAGGTTAGAATTGAGCACTTGTTCTCTTGCCCTGTAGTTTTGCTCAAATAGCAAAGACCAAGAATCAGAAAATAAGTTCAAACAAGAAGGATAAATGGGATACAAAACTAAAGCTGCTGCAGGACACAGTGTCAAAAAATCTAGTCTCTCACAAATCTTCTGTGTGTCTTTCAGTACAAAAAATAAAAGCCTTTTCTTCCAGTGCTTGTGGCACATAAATCAAAGAGACAATAGCAAGCACTTCTCTAACCTAACCTGCTTTCTAGAATATTTCAGGCATTGAAAGTCAGGATTGTTTTCTAGTGTTGTATAAGTATACCTAATGTTAGTTCCTTGCTCTCCATCCTTGCATCTGAATCTCAGTTTTCCATGCCTTTTATTGTTGGATAATTTAATTCATTTTAAATTAAATCAATCAGCTATTCCCCTACAGTAATTAGACACTTTGTAATGTTGAATTGCCCTACAAATTACATAACTCAGTGTGGGTTACAAATAGCATGCATTTGTCCATTGTCCAGCAGTAATACTTAGGAAGCCTGTATAAAAATTGTCAGATTAGCATGATAATAAATAGAACGTGACAGATCCCAGATAATGCAGAGCAAAACAGCTCTGCTCAAATAAGTCGAATGGTTCCTAGGTTATACTAGCTGAGTGATGCTTGTGAAGCCCAGTAAACACATCTGTAACTGTAGAATTGCTAATCTTGCCAGTTAAAAAGCTTTTTATCTCCAATACATTTGAAAAAAAAAAAAAAGATATGTTTAGGCTTGTCTCTGTATGTCACTCTTCCTTTGTCTTGAGAGCCCTTGCTTTACCTGTTTTTTGTTACACTTTTTACCTTTTTCCCCAGCTAGGGAAAGCAACTATAATTGTTTCTAGTATAATCCAAGGGCTCAGATAAAACATCCAGTGCAGCCTGATTTGTTACTAGTTGAACAAAAAACCTACAGCTGGCAATCAGAAAAACGCTCAACCATCTCAGCTTTAGTGCCAAATCTGATGACAGGAGATGGGAGTAGAGACAATAATCTTGTCATCCTTCCCTGTTTCCAAATTCCTCTTTGAAATCACTTTCTTTTGCTTTGTGTTATTCTTTCTTCCAGGAGTATGAATCAAGGTAGTCTTCACAATGAAGCTCAAATAAATTTTATTTAATAAAGAGACATAAATAAAACAATTGTGTGGGTCGCTCTGTAAAGTTCTAAAGTTCACTCTAAAAAGTTTTTTCTTTGAGCTTTTTCATAATCATTTTTATATCTTTATTTCACTCTATATATGTCTGTAAGTCTGTATATGATAATGGAGAAAATACCAAGTCTTTACTGAGCAAGGTATAATAAAACAGTAGGAAGTTTTGAGCCACCTAAATTAAAATGATGAGGAAGAAACAGACATTAATTATCTCAGACTGCATTATCTTTTCATTTTGCTAGCAAGGAAATACTTAACACCTCAGAAGCAAAATGCTTTACTTTGGACTGGAGAGATAATTTAAAATCACACGTGGGGGGCAGCTAGATGAAAGATCAGAATCTTGTATATTCACTGAGCAAGAATAATGAGATGAAAAAGTAGACAAAGAAGAAACTATATTCGTGTTTGCTCTGTACCACAAGCCATGACCTCTTCCACGGTCACAAGGACCTATTTTCAATCTCAAGTCAATAGCTATAAATGTTAATAATTGCCTTTACCTCTTTCTCTGTAGCTTAGCTTCTTGCCCCATTACCAAAACCATTTAGCTTCTCAGTAATTCATTTTCTACATAATCTCTTTCATGTCCCACGTTTCCTCTATTGTGTTTCACCTTGAGCAGTACATCATGTAAATAAAGTCTATATCCATAATCACTTTACAATTCTGCTTAAGGGAATTCACTCTTGAAAACTCCATTCCAACTGGTCTCCATTATAGCAGATCTTTTTAGTCCTCATTAGATGGGACAAAGGGGCAAATATTTTAAAAACTATTTTAGCATCAATGATGTAACCTTGAGTATCTATTCAAAGATTTTAGATGTATTTAAAGGATGAGTATGAAGCAGATCTGAGAAAGAAGTTCATCGTACTGTGTTTGGATTCTAAAAATTCCTGCATTTAAAATAAAGTTTAAGGCCACATTATTGTAATGTAGACACTGATGAAAGGGACAAAAATGTCCAAGAAGTTCTATTCAAACGTGTATTTTTTTTCAAATTAGAAATAGAGATTTATCCTACTAATAACCAGGAAAATGTGTGTGTTGGTATTTAAGGCAGAAATAGATTAATTAAGACAGAAAAGAATGAGTTCTGTATTCTTCCAATGAGCAACAAACTCCTAGCTTCACACAGTCTGCAACGTGACTATCTCAGAAAGGACAGAAGCAAGTGATGAAATATGTGTGTAAAAGAGTATTTTTAGTTCTGTTTAGGATTTACTGTAATTATGAGGTGTATATTTTCTTTTTTTAAACCAAATTTTACTGTGACTTTTGGATTCCATCCAGCTCTTGCTCTTGAAATAAAAATTAGGTATTTCAGTTCTACTTCTCTGAAAGCCAAATGCCTGTGAAAGCTTTTGACACTCTCTTATGTCATCTCACATTTGCTTGATGTGGTTGTATGTGGTTTTCCATCCTTAGTCTTACATTTCAGTTTGTAAGAAATCTGAAGTCTTGCTTCATTGCAGTTTTAGTTGCTGAACCACTGTCTGTAATATTCGAGATGGGGGTAAAAATCTTAGATAATATGCTACCCACATTTTTAGCATGCACTTAGAGGAAGCTAAAAACTTATGAAATTGGTTCCTCTAACACCTTATATTATATAAGAGAAAAAAAATAAAATGACAGTTGCCTTCCAACCTAGGAAAAGTCATTAATGTTCTTTTCCTCCCTTTCATTTTTCCTTTTGTTCTCAAGCTTCATTCTGACTTGGACAAGGGAGTCGGCACTGTTAAATATACCCTTTCAGGAGATGGTGCTGGCACGGTTTTTACTATTGATGAGACCACAGGAGACATTCATGCCATAAGGAGCCTAGATCGAGAAGAAAAACCTTTCTACACACTCCGGGCTCAGGCTGTGGATGTTGACACCAAGAAACCACTAGAGCCTGAATCAGAGTTCATCATCAAAGTGCAGGACATTAATGATAATGAGCCAAGGTTTCTGGATGGGCCTTATGTTGCCAGTGTCCCAGAAATGTCTCCAGTGGGTGAGTAAGAAGCTTTAAACACCTGATAATTAATTGCATATTACTTAATTGTCTCAATGCACATTTCACGCTGAGGAAAGAAAGATAAGGATGAAATAAAAATATACCTTCTAAAACTTATTATTAGGGATGTTTCTAATGCTCTTGTTTATAAATATGCAGATTAGAGTTTTCTTTTAGCTTTGTTTGCTGATTTATAAACTTACTCTCCTCCAAAATGACTGCGGATAACTTTAAGTCTCTGAGGACAGGAGGAGAATAGAAAGAGATAGTCAAGGAAGCTATGCTGTAGTCTAGGGGTTCTCCGTACCCCCAAACCTTTTATGTCACATACTTAGGTGTGTTCCCCCCTCTTCTTTGTTTAAATTAACTGTTTACTGTACAGAATTAGATTAATTTTTGTACAGCATCGTGTCATTTAACTGTCTTGTCTTTGTGGCTGTTAAACTCCTACAGCACTTGCATGATCTCCTAATTATTCATTAGGGGACAATTCTTTAAGTCCTGCTATACTGTGCATGCTGAAAGTAACGATTGTCCTCACCTCGTTCACAATGCAAAAATGGGAGTCTGCAAGACTGACTCAAGATGACAAAAACCTAATGTCCAAGAAAATCTTTAGTACACCAGATTCTTAAGTTTAAAAAAAAAAAAAAAAAGATTGCCTGGGAACATGGTAAGTTTTCAAAAACCTAGTGTACAGAAGACAGAATAATTTTCTCTCTAAAGAAATTAGTGAGGATACTGCAGCACTGGAATAGGTTTTTGCTTGAAGAATTTTCATAATGTGATAGATATTTGCCAGGAATGATGTAAAGAGCATCAATACTGCTTTGGAGCAGGAGAATAGAATTAATGGGTCCTTTGGGTCTCTGCCTGATGGCTGATTCTGCAGTGGTCCTGAGAAGCGTGTTTGCAACATAAGCACACTGCTTGTGTCCTGCTGCCAGATGGCATTTTGGGTTTCCCTGCAGACACCAGAAATTAATTTGTTCTCCACTGGGAGTCCTTTAACTTCCTAATGTTAACTTCCCAGTGCTAGTTCCAGCTTATTGCCATTTTCTCTCCTAAACTGTCTTTTCCCAGTACTTCACAAGCCAGTACTAGTCATTTAATACTCCCTATAGTTGCTAACAGTTTTGGAAGTTTTCTGAGTCTGAAATGGCGGAGGGATACTGTTCCCCTTCAGCTATGAAGCTCGAATGTTGATGTTTTTAAAGTCAATCTGAGAGGCAACTGGCTGTCTACACAAGTTGCTAAACAGAATTAAAGAGGTACTATTTTAAAATCTGTGGTAAGGTATGGTATAATGTGATAAAGTGAGATGTGAGTGGACATGTAGGGATGATCATGTTAGTCTTATACAACTGTAGAGACTAGTGCACTACAGTTTGTCTATAGATTCCCTATATTGTTTACCCTATAAAGATGCATAATAATATTACTTACGGTTCTATTATTTATAGATGAAAAATATTTGTTATATTTTGATGTATGTCAGAATAAAATTTTTTTCACCAGTGAGTGTATGGTTGGTTGTTAAATTGTTTTTAAAACTTGATCAGAGAGATCTGAGCAAAATAAAAATGAGTGATGCTGTTTATACAGCGGAACACAGTGCATGCATTCATTCTTTCAGTCTGATGTTCTCCCTCTATCTTCCTTTCTTATTTTCTTAAATACATGTGTGCAGTAGAAGATTAAATGCTAATAGTGCAGTAGAAGATTAAATGCTAATAGGGCCTTTATTTCATGGGAAACACTCTTTAAGGTTTGCCAAACATTGTGACTTTTACATGGATGGGGAGTTGCATGACTAAATGAGATACAATTGAGCGTGCTGTGTCATGCATACGTTTTAAAACAATTGCTTTCCAATTTACTCTCCTTTGGAAAAACAGAAGTAGATGCCATGGCAAAAGTGGATCTTCTTGATCTTCACTTTATTCAGTAACATTCACTATATCTAGAAGATTTATTCATAACAGATGTTATTTTCCTCTATAAAAACAATTAAAAGATGGATGAAAATTGATCAGAAAAGGCAAGGTAAGAAAAGAGTGCCCTAAGTGGAAGCCTAAACTTCAAATAGTGGCTACTAAAGCAGATAAAATTTTTTGCTGCTAGATTGTCTTGCAGTAAAAATATCCAGAAGTGCCTTTTGTTGCCTGTAATGTGTCAGAAGATTGTGCCTTCTCCAGTGTAGGTCTTTCCACTCTCTTGTTCTTTCTTATCAATGCTTTTGCTTTCTAATGCAAGCACAGATTCCTCAGAGGATCTAAAACTACTGCTCTCTATCATCAGTACTATTTAGTTGCACCTATAGAGATGCTTAAACCTACCAGTGCCTGAGGCTGACATTGAAAATCTCTTTGATTTTTCAGCTGGTACAGCATATGGTCATCTTGGCTTAAGCAAAAATCCTGATAAACCCTTTCTCTCATAATTTTTTTTTTCCATTTTAATTTTCTAGTTGCCGCTTTTCAATTATCAAATGTCCTAAACTTCATTTACTATAGTTTCATAATATTATTGATTATGAACTGCATGAGTGCTGTTTTCATTGTGGGAAATGCACTGCAACATGACTTTTTCAACCCTTACTAGTCAGTTATATGAGCCTGATGAGCTTTTGTGACTAGTGACTTACTGTCTTTTATTGTTATATAACATTTGCAAAGTTTTTCTCAGTTTGAGACTTTATCCCAAGGTTATTGATAATAAGGAGCAAAATATGGATGCCAGAGTTTATGCTGAAAGGGGAATAGAGGTGCTGAGAAGTAGTTAATAAAATCATACATCCAGTGTAAACACACAGTATATATTCAATTTGGACAATGAAATAAAGGGAACGGTATAAATTATCCTTGAGATAAAACGGTCTGCAGCCATAACAGAAGATTGTATGGGACTGGGAAGTCTTGGGAAGAAAAGTGTTTTTCAGAGCCCTTACACACCTTAGAAATTTTCATGGCTACATGGTTCTCAGTTCTGTGATTCTCTGGACTTCATTATAATTGCTGTTGCTGAGTCTGGGATGGCTGAAACAATGACATAACATAGATACAGAATTATAGTAAAATTGTGCATCAACTTTATCCTGGACCTCGGTGATTTTTTACTGGAAAAGGTGCAAAAGGATGAAAATTTGTAGCAATCTCGAGATCTGGTTTTCTGCACATATATATTATTTAGACACATCTGTCATATCCAAATTTTTCATGGTAGATTTTCTTAGAACTTGTGTTACTTTCCACACGTGTTGTAGGTGGAAATTTACTTTTTCCCTTCAAATTTACATTGTAGACAGATTGAAGTTTCTTCTACAGTTTCTGCACTCCAGAGTTTGTTTGTTTTTCCTTTCAATCAATAGCACTCCTTAAAAAAGATAGCGGTAATGCATATCTTTTAGTTTTTTTCTGAAGAGATAATTTTAGGACTGCTATTTTTACTTAGTGGTACATTCCTTACTGGGAGCCAAATTGCTTCATATGTTCTCAAGAAAAAATGTTAAAAGGGTGGTTACTCACTACAAGCCAGGATGCAAATCTATTTGATGCCAAAGCTTGAATGGCCAGCTAACCTTGCTCCTTCCATATATGCACTGTAATCTGCTCTTACATTATGGAGAGAAAAGTCAATCACAGACACACAAAAAAAGATCTTCTCTTGAAAAGCCCTTTGGTTACATACTGCCATAACATGCAGGCTGCTGTACCCATCTCTGACTTCTGTTTTTTCTGATCCTTTCAAAGTAGTCACAGTTTTCGTGTTGTGGAAAGGTATCTGTACCTCCAAAGTTGACAGTGTATTGCTCACATAGCAAATGAGGTGCAGAATACTTTATGGTGAAGAATTTGTTTTGGAAAGGACATTGATGTGAAATTCCCTACAGAAAACCTCAGCAGATGGAGTGAGATTACAACACAGAACTAATATTTTAAGAACAGAGATTGCTATGCTGTCATCTTATGCCTAGTAAGAGACTTATACAAGCTTAAGAGCTGGACTCCTAATGTTGGGGGGGTGTGGTGTTTCTGATGTTGAACTGGTTTTATCAATATCCTTATTTTAAAATATTTTCTTGATAAGTTCCAAAATGTAGAACAAATCAGAAATGGAGATTTATCTGTGACAACTGAAACTGGGGCAGTAATATTCCCATTTGCAAATTAGTATTAGCAAAATATGTTGTCCTTAAGTATAGTTTAATCAACTGTGTTGTTCCTTCTGGCAGCTGCACCAGCTTCTGTTGCAATATAGTTGACGTAAGCATGCAAATAAACCAAGGTTATCCCCTTATTAAAGCTATCAGTCCAGATGACTGAGAATGGGGGCATAGCAGCATTAAGCACACATTCAAGGAAAGTTATTATTATACATTTTTTTATTTTTATACATAAAAATGTGTGCAGAAATGTATTTGCATTTCTTACACATTTCTTTCACTGAATATGCTGATTTTAACAGCAAATTTATAACTTCTACTGTCACTGTTTCCTAATTGTTTTCTAAGGTCTTTCCATTATTTCTCTATGCTTAATACATAGACCAGCTATGGGTATACTAAACCCATCAATTCCATAATATATGGATGCCATATGTTCTTTCCTAAGCAATTTCATTTCATACTTTTCCACTAGATAAACTCCTTGTTGATTAGAGGGGACTCTACAAACTACAGATCACCACAGCAGACTAAAATGGTCAATGATAAGAGAAAGCTGATATCAAGTTATTTTTACTGTGTTCCTCCATGGTGTAAGGCAGCTATCTGAAGAGTGTTATGGATTTACTTTCCATGGTACTGTCAGTGTGAAAGTAGTCTCTATAAATTTTCTGTCAGTTTTCCTTCTGAATTGAATACTTAACTGGATTTTATTTAAACATTGGCTTATATTTGAACATTGACAAAAGTGCATATATATACATCCGCAAATGGAACATATGTTCAATATATCCGTGTAGTTTCAGGTGCAAGAATTACAACACAGAGAAAA